TACAGTACAGTAAAAAATTTTAAACTTTTAAAAGGCATGCACAACCCCCCCCTGCAATTTAGCCAAAAATAAGAAAATAAAAATACCAGTATAGTACAGTAAAAAATTTTAAACTTTTAAAAGGCATGCACAAAAAAACCCTGCAATTTACCCAAAAATATGAAAATAAAAATACCTGTAATATTTATGCAATAAAACCCACCACCCACACAAGAGAACAAATGTAAACTTACCTTCTGCTAGCCAAGTTCTCCAGAAGAAACCAAAGTTGCTCCTCATGAAGTCAGCGCTGGAACTCCACGTGCAAACCCCTGCAATTTACCCAAAAATATGAAAATAAAAATACCTGTAATATTTATGCAATAAAACCCACCACCCACACAAGAGAACAAATGTAAACTTACCTTCTGCTAGCCAAGTTCTCCAGAAGAAACCAAAGTTGCTCCTCACGAAGTCAGCCCTGGAACTCCACGTGCAAAAGTAAAGCCAGGATGCATGGGGAAGGGTTTTTAAACCTTCCCTGCACAAGGCACAATGCATCCTGGGTATTGACTGTTTAAATTTGAAAGAAAGCAACTACAGGGAATAACACCCTGGAGGCAGTCGCATTGCGAAACAGTGACCATTAAAACGCCATTCAAGCGAAGCACGACCTCCGGGCTGTTTAAACCATCGGTAAGCGAAACAGGGGACCCAAAATTTAATTGCTATGCGAAGCATGGTCCCAACATTGCTAAGCGAAAATCGCCCATAGGGACCATTGCTAAACGGAGCGCAAAAACGCTCCGAAAAAGTCGTCGCTAAGCGATTTTGACGTAAAACGGAGCGATCGCTAAGCGAGGCACCACTGTAATTATATCATGGACTGGAACCATCTTATGATCCCATTCTTATATGCGGATGTGAGGAAAAATCTCAGTATTAAATGGACCATGGAAGAATATAAACTAAAACAGACATTTCTATAAACACGGTTGAGCTTTTCTTGTGGCGTTTTAAAGACTAACAAATTTTATACTAGTGTCAGCTTTCATGGATCAAAATCCACTTTTTTAGGCACTCGCAGTCTGAAGAGCCACAATCTTTTCTCTCTTTTCTTTTTCCCCTGTTCATTTTTGCCAATATGCTGAGACATACCAACATAGCCCATTCATTGGAAATTGGGGTTAACTGAGATTCCATACCCCCATGTGGGATGGGTCCAAACAAAGAAATATTTTTTCTGAACAAATTACAGTGGTGCCCCGCATAGCGACATTAATCCGTTCGGGATTAATTGTCGTTATACGGAAACATCGCAATGCGGGAGGAAAAACCCCATAGAAACGCATTAAACTTCGTTAAACGCATTAAACGAAGTTTAATGTGTTTCTATGTGGTGAAAACTCACCGATATGCAAGGTTTCCTCCATAGGGCCGCCATTTTCTCCACCTCGGTAAGCGAGGCCAGCGCGGGCGGCCATTTTAGAACCGCCGATCAGCTGTATGAAAATGGGGCCTTTGGGAGGAAAAGCCCCCATTTTCGCACAGCTGGCCGGCCGGGGCGCTTCAGAACGACGGCGGGGGAACCCTTCCCCTGCGGCCGCTCCGAAGGGCCTGCCCGCCAGCGGCTCCAAGTGGTGGTGGTGGGGCAGGGTGTGTGTGTGGGTCCGGATGCCTTCCAGGAGTGCTTTGCCTGAAAACCATCTGGAT